CGATACAAGTGTTGTTGTTGGACTTATATAAGTATCTATGAGGGTGGAACAAATGTCGTTACAAGCAAATGGGTTAACTTAGTTCAATACTCCATATTCTATGTCACATGATCTAGTTTTCTTGCATAATTTAGAGATCTAGTGTTTGAGGATGAAAGGTCATTGAGAACGATACTTGTGTCGTTACTAAGATGAAAAGTTCTAAGAGAATGGCACAAGTGTTGTTTAGAGGATGAAAAGGTCATTGAGAACGACACTTGTGTCGTTACTGATCTTGAAAAGATATAGAGAACAACACAACTGCCGTTATAGTGACAAACTTAATAACGAGTATGACACAAGCGACGATAATGTTTATATAACTCAAGATAGGGAGAACGACACAAGTAGCGTTATAAAGACAAAAACATGTTCATAAGAACGGCACAAGTGTCGTTACCGCTTATAAAACGACTCTTGTGCCGTTACTGGATTGAGATAAAACATTAAAACGGTGTAACTGTTGTTATGTTTAAACTAGTCGCTATCACGTGCGCTGCACGAATTTTGTATTTATTATATTTTTATTAGTGTATGAATTTTGATTTTTTTGGAAAGTTTTAGAAGTAATATCTAAAAATATTTTCATAATATAAGAAAATAATTATAAATTATTTTTACAATTGTATAGCAGTATATTATCTAGAAAAATATACTTGTATATTTCATGTTTGAATAAGAAATATACAAACTATTTTGTTTGTATTCTTTGATAGTGTTGATATGATTGAATTGAATGTGAAGATTATATTTTTAAATTTTATACATTTATAACAAATTATAAATCCATATATGCAGTTTACCGTATATGTTGCATACCGTATTTGTAGCATACCGTATTTGTAAACAACTTATCGTATTTACAATTTACCGTATTTACAGTCTACCGTATTTGCAAACAACTTACCGTATTTGCAGCCTACCATATTTGCAAACAACTTACCGTATTTTTACATTACCGTATTTTCATCTTACCGTATACGCTGCCTACCGTATTTACAGCTTACCGTATTTGCAAACAACTTACCATATTTTCACCTTACCATATATATTGCCTACGGTATTTGCAACTTACCGTATATGCTGCCTACCGTATTTGCAGTGTATTTTTATATAACGATTTTTGCACTTACAAATACCGAGAGTGCAGAACAC